CCGACCCCACCCTTTTAGGGAGGTTCAATGGACCTTTCTCCTTTCCAACTGGGGCGTCTTCCCCTCTCGGGGGGGCTCTTTTGGTCTTTTATTTGATTTTTTGGCATGTTTCTAGCAATCGGTAAGACAGGTTCTCCAGCAAGTTTCTCTGGGTGTGAATCCCACCCATCTTTCAAGCTCAGATTCTCTACAACTCGTTTATTTGCTGTGGAAGAGTGCTTGCTTGAGCACCTCCTCGGTGGGGCCCTTTGTTGAGCCCTGGGGACACAAAGATGAGGAAAACAGAGTAGCAGAGGGGGAAGACGTGACGATCTAGAATGCTGGTATAGTTCTTGCCCCTGTGCCAGGGTAGAGGACATGCATGCTGACTATGGTAAGCCATGCAATCCCCCCCAACAACCTTGAGTTAGGTAATAAATACTGTTATCCTGGTTTCATAGCTGGGAAAACAGAGGCACAGAAAAGTTAATTAAGTTGGTTAAGGTCACACAGAAAAAGAGGGGTGCCGAGGTGGCTCTGTCGGTTAGGTGTCCACCTTTGGCTCAGGTCATGATCTTTCGGTTCGTAGGTTCGAGCCCCGCGTCGGGCTCTGTGCTGACAGCTCGGAGCCTGGAGCCTGCTTCAGAGTCTGTCTCCCTCTCTCTCTCTGCCCCTCCCCGCTCACGCTCTGTCTCTCTCTCTCTCTTTCAAAAATAAATAAACATTAAAAAAAAACTTTTTTAAAGAATGAGGACGGCAGCCTGGGCAGTTTGGCTCCCGCATTTGGGCCCTTGGCCACTCTGCCACTTGTGTTATAAACTTTCATGAGACAGAGACAGAAGTGCTAAGAGGCAGGTACTCCTGGGTAGCAGGTGGCACAAAGGAGAGAGGCATCCACTCTGCTTGGGAGAGCCTGGACCTTCCCTTTAGGACAGTGGACCCACTCTAAACTTCTTCCTCAGCAAACGATGGCACCAGGAGATTCTGATTCCTTCCAAGAGGTGAAAGCACTCGCTCTCCCACTTTGTCTGTCCTTGGAGAGGTTAACACAACACTGACCATTTTTAACCCCTTGTGGGGAATTAGCTGAGTCAGTTGGATACTCTTCACGAATAGAAGGGCTCGGCCTTGAGGAGAACCTTGAGGGGGGTGAGGGTGAGAGAGAACCCTTTGAGCGTGAGGCAGGCGGCTCTCAGGCAGCAGCAGGAAGGGGGGCGGCAGCTGTTCGGGGAGTGGGTTCTGGGCAGATAGAAAGGAGATACTGGATAATTGGAAGGCTCTAGAGATGAACTTCTGTACTTCTTACTTTTCTCATCACAGATTAGATGTCCCGTCCGACACTTTTGTCTCACTCGCTGAGTAGGGATGCAAAGATTCCATAGAAGAGGAAAACAAAGGCTGCAGTATAAAAAAACATTGTTTAAATCACGAAACATATATTTTTAAAAAGGCACAAACCTCTCTCGGCCCTACAGACTCTTTTAGCCCCCACAGCCCCTTTTCTCTCTCTCCCTTTTTTTTTTTTAATGTTTATTTACTTTTGAGAGAAAGAGAGAGAGACAGAGGCGTGAGTAGGGGAGGAGCAGAGAGAGGGGGAGACACAGAATCCGAAGCAGGCCCCAGGCTCCGAGCTGTCTCCAGGCTCTGAGCTGTCAGCACAGAGCCCAAGGCGGGACTCGAACTCACAGACCGTGAGATCATGACCTGAGCCAAAGTCGGCCGCTTAACCCACTGAGACGTACAGGAGCCTCCCCTCTCTCTCCCTTTTGGCAAAAGCCGTCCTCTTCCTCTCCTCCCGTTTGCTCTTGAACCCATTTCCCAGGCTCCATCCCTCTCCACTCCGTGGAATCTGCTCATACCAAGGTCACCTCCATGTGACCACAGCCAGTGGTCATCTCTCGGTTCCCAGTTCCCTGGCCCAACAGATGGGCAGCATCGGAGTGGTTGGCCCCCTCTGCGTTCATGAAACGCTTCCTGCGTGGCCTCTGGGAAATGCTTTCTCTTGGCTCTCTTCCTAGCCCCCCGGCCAGTTCTCTTTCTCTCTTGCCGGTTTCCCCTCATTTTCGCCGCCACTAAGCACTGGAGTGCCCCAGGGCCCTGTCCCGGATATCTGCCCTGTCTTTGCGCTCTTCTCTGTTTTCCTCCCCATCCTCTGGCCTTCAAAGACCTCTCCGGGGGAACTTCAGACTTGCACAACCGTCTCCCCAACACCCAGGTGTCTAATAAGCATCTCACACTTCACATGTCCACAAACTCCAGAGCTTCCCCCTGAAACCTGCCCCTCCCTCAGCCTGCGGCGTCTTCTCCGTAAATGACGATCCCACCCTCCCAGTTGCTCAGGCCAAATCCTGCACGGATCCTTGCCTCCTCTTTTCGTCTAACATGGCAAATCTAACGTGCAGCCCAATCCCATTGGCTCTATTTTCTACATCCATTCGAATGCGGATCACTTCTCTCCACCGCCAGCACCACGACCTCCTGCGCCCAAGCCACCATTTGCACTCGTCTGGACTGTTGAAATAGCCCCTTGAATGCTTGCCCTGCCTCCGTTCTGTTCCCCAGTATGCTCCTTCCTTTCACCTCACTTCAGCCAGGATGATGCTTTAAAAATGTATGTCAAATATGGGAAGGCAAGCTGGTGCAGCCACTCTGGAAAACAGTATGGGGGTGCCTCAAAAAACTAAAAACAGAACCACCCTCCGACCCAGCAATGGCACTACTAGGTATTTACCCAAGGGATACAGGTGTGCTGTTTCGAAGGGACACAGGCACCCCCATGTTTATAGCAGCACTATCAACAATAGACAAAGTATGGAAAGAGCCCAAATGTCCATCAATGGATGAATGGATAAAGAAGATATATATATATATAATGTGATATATATATAATGTGATATATATATATAATGTGATATATATAATGTGATAT